TTCTCCAGAATTTCCAAGTTAGAAACAATAAAAGCACAAGAGGAAAATACTTATTAGTTGTGAAAAATTAGAAAATATCTATATCAATAAACAAACACTGTAATTACAACCCAGACCACAGAAAGAGGGAAATTGTTTTCAGTAAGTAGAACAAGGGTTAGGATCTCTCCAATGGAAAAAAACACATGCAAACTGATAAGAAAACTACCAAGACTCTTTCAGGAAAAGGACAAAGGACGTGAACAGACAGTCCACAAAGGAGGAAATACATCTAGTAAACAAAGATAAAGAAAACTATTTGGCACCATTAGCATGGAAACAAATACAGATTAAAACCACAAGATGACGTGTTTTCAATATCGAATTAGCAAAAAGCTATTCATACCCTTTAACCCAGTAATTCCGAACGTGCATTGTGTAATTCTAGTTCGGGGAATCCTAAGAAACTAAGCCAAAATGCAAATTAATGAGCTGGTCACAATTTTATCTATAATAGTTAATAATAGAAAATAATCCAAATGCTGAACAGCCAGAGGCAGGCTTAGAAAATGATGGCATATTCATGCAATGGAATTTTAATCAACGACATATCCATACAAAAAATGTTTGGGAAGAATTTATGGTAACACAGGAAAATGCTTATATCTTGTTAATTGAGAAAAAAAAATCAAGATTGTTAGTTGTACATAACTTATTTTCTCACCTATGAGAAAAATAATTATAGGAAAAGAGAGATCCAGCAAAACGTTCCCTCAGCACCACACTGGCAGACTGGTCACTGTTCTTTCATGCAGCACACCTTTGTTGAGTTCTGGGCTGACCTCTCTATCCCAAGTCCTGGGAGTTAATTCAGAAAGCTCTGCCCTTGAGGTGTTTGCATCTAACTATTATAATAACCTGAAATAATACGGAGTGGTCATAAAGTGCATGCCCAATTTAAAATAGTGTACATCTGAAATTTGCACACACACTTTATGGCCACTCTGTATAATATCTGAAAAACTGTTCTATAGGAGTAAACAATAAAGTCTCAAAAGCTATAAATATAATCAAAATCCAAAAATATCACAGCATGAGCTCAGATGCAAGGTGAATGTCGAACAGAGCTAAACTTTTAGTAACCCTGCCTAGAGGCTGATAGGGGACTATGGGGGGACTTAGCTGTCAATGGGGTTCTTGGAGCCCCCAGTGCTGGAGTTAAGATAGCCCTGACCCCAAAGGAATGAAAGTCAAGGTGTAGTTAATGGGATGGGTAGGTAGGATGAAGCTGATACTTCCTATTATTAGTGGTTTGGTGCCTCTGTACTTCTGCCCAGCCTCTGCTCAGAACCACCAGAATGACTACAGATGACTCATCAGGTTCCTTCTTTTTATTTTTAATTTAATTTTTAATTAAAATCATAACTATATACCTTTATGGGGTACAATGTGATGATTTGGCGTATGATGTGGAATGCTTAAATCAAACTGATTAACATAGCCATCATCTCACTTATTTTTTGTGGTCAGACATTTAAAATTTACACTTAGGTATTTTGAAATATATCCTTGCATTGTGCACATTAGGCAAGGTCCCTCCAAATGCCCTCCCTCCTCCCCCCAACCTCCCTCCCCCTCCCTCCTTTCCCCTCCCTCTTGCTATTCTATCTGAGTGACTTCCCCAGCTCCACCTCTTTGACAAAGACTAGCATGGAGGTTTCTGCTGGGGTGTGAGGGTCAGGCTGGTATCAAAGCCTCTATTTTCAGGTTTCTCATGGATGGAGATGTCAAAGAACCACACCTTACATTTCTAAAGTCCTTCACATATATTTCTTTTCTTTTTTTTGCAGTTTTTGGCCAGGGCTAAGTCTGAACCTGCCACCTCCGGCATATGGGGCCAGCGCTCCACTCCTTGAGCCACAGCTGCTGCCCCACATAGATTTCACATGTATTTTTAAAAATTCTGAGTCACCTGCAAATTGAAGAATGGTACAGTTTTGTCATGAAACCTACCAGCTCTGTTATTTATTTTTCAGCATCGCTATCTATACCTTGCTTCCTTCACCGATCAGATTTTAGCTATCTGACAAATACTAAATAAGAAAAATAATGATTCTCATAGCATTGAGGGGAAGCTCTCCTAAAAAGCTGTGTTCTCGGCTCAGCGCCTGTGGCTCAAGTGGCTAAGGCGCCAGCCATGTACCCTCAAGGTGGCAGGTTCGAATCCGGCTCGGGCCCGCCAAACAACAATGATGGCTGCAACCAAAAAATAGCCAGGCATTGTGGCAGGTGCCTGTGCTCCCAGCTACTTGGGAGGTGGAGGCAGGAGAC